GCGCAGCGAGGTACTTGTCGAATTTTCCACTTATGTATTCCCCACCATTGTCACTTTTCAAGAATTTGATTTTTCTGTTTTGGAGATTTTCTACCATGCAACGGTACTTCTCAAATTTTTCTAGTACTTCACTTTTGGCTTTCATAGGGAAGGCTGTGGTATAGTGAGAAAATTCATCCGTGAAAGTCACAAAATAATTTGAACCTCCAAAAGAAGGGGGAGAAATTTTACCAACAACATCTGAATGTATAACTTCTAGGATGTCTTTAGCTTTTGTACTAGCGGCTTTTGGAAATTTCTTCCTTTTCATTTTTCCCTGAATACAGACTTGGCAAGGTTCATTTACTAATACTGTTGATTTCAGGTTTCTGCCGATGGGGACAATATTTTTTGTTGTACAAATATGTGGATGACCAAGTCTACGATGCAGCAAGTCGGCAGGCACTTTCAGTTTTCGTAGCGTAGGCAGTTGCCATTTTTTCTTCGATTATGTATAGTCTTCCTTTTTTCTCACCAGATAAAAGAGTATCTCCATTCTTACCAATCACTTTGGCTTTTCCTTCAGCAAATTCTACTTTTAAGCCTCTTTCTTCAATTCTACCAATGGATAATAGATTTCCTCCTAGTTCTGGAACATATAGGACATTTTCAATAGTGACGTTTTTTCCTCCATCTTCTTCTCCAACAGAAAATGAAATATTTCTAATTCCAGTGACCTTTATTCTTTCTGAATTAGCAACTTCAACTTCAGATGTGTACTTCTTAAGGTCTGAGAATTTTCTTTTATCAGAGGTCATGTGTTCTGTAGCTCCACTGTCTAAAATCCACAGATTACTTTTTCTTGATTTTTCTTCGTTTGCCAGAAGTGCAATGTTTGTCTTGAGGTCAACTGCAGTTTTGGCACTGTTTTAGTTCTGTTATTTGCCCTCTTCACAATTTTTAGATATGTGCCCCCACTGCCACACCTGAAGCATTTAGTACTTCTTCCTCTGTTAGTTCCTTCTTCATTTGGCCTTTTAGCTGCATACTTCTTCATGGGTTTTCCAAATGCAGGCTTCTTCTGGTTGGTGGCAAAATATTTAGTCTGAAGAGCTTGTTCTTCATGATACACTTTGGCTGAACTCTCATTTCTAATTATAAGTTTCTCTTCTACAAGTAGCCTTGGTTTCACGATCAAAAGTTGAGATTTGCTTCAGCTTTTTCCAAACTTAAGATGAGCGATTCATAACTTCTAGGCAGTCTCAATAGCATCACTAGGGCCACTTCTCTATCTGTGAATGCATATCCACCATTAGCTAATTTTCTGTGTAAGTTCATTAATCTTGCTAGATAGGATTGGATGGACTCATTTGGCTTCATATTTATGTTAAAGAGTTCTCTCATAAGTTGCAGTACATGAAGCAGACCGAATTTTGTATGTATTTCTTTCAAACAGTTCCAGGCGTCTCTGGCTCTAATACAATCTCCGATATCATCTAGAAATGTATCTTCAACTATGAGGAATAATAGGGTAAGAGCTTCATCATGCTTTTTTGCTCTCCGCTTCGTTCATTTCTATTCCATATCCGGGTTCCACTGCTTCCCAACATCTCTTCTGCACCAGCACGGCACGTGAACGGATACACCATGTGTGATAATTATCGCTGTTTAGTTTCGGCATTTTATAATCTTCAGATGTCATTCTTCAAGTAAATTTATAGAGCTAAATTCACAAAAAATACTTTTGTTTACTTCGTCAAAGGATGGTTATACACTCACTTCAGATTCACAACGTGGTTAGGCTTCTGTGCGATCTTCAATCCTTGATCATAATGGTGTTTCCTTTTGAGCTTTTTGTGCTGATAATGTGATAATGTTTGAGTTATTCGTGGGTTAAAGAAACGACATAGTCCAGGTTGAACAATAAAAAATATATTGGGAATATTAGGTTACATGGAAACAAGCAACCACAGCAATGCACACCAGATAGGGACTGAATGACAACAAAAACTACTTTTGCCAATTTTCATAAAGTAAATATTGGGACTGGCACATATACGCATATTTTTAACACGCCCCCTTGCCAGTCACACTAGTTGCAAGGTATTTACATACTTCCACAAAAATTAATCACGCTGTGGTTGTACACATTTACAGAAAAACAATATAGCTGCTATTACATGCATAAACACTATCAACCTCTACTTATGAATTACATTATTAAATGAAGCACATATTAAGTTCATACTAGAAAACACAATGTTTACAATGAAAACAATTAAGAAAATTGTATATCTAGGCTTCTTTCTGAAATTTTAAGTCAAGTCTCTACACAAGTCACTATCATAATGGTTTATGTTCAGTCACAAACTTCAAAGGAGGTCATTTTTACATGCAAGTCCTGGCATAGTTCATGTCACAGAAAAGTTTTTTCGAGGTCTGCTTAGTTAAGAGATCAGCAAGATTGTCGCTGGATGGCACATGATCAAATATAATCACATTTTCTTTCACTAGGTCTCAGAAAATGAAATTTAATATCGATGTGCTTACTTCTTTCAGAAGTAACATGCTTCTTGGCTAAGAAAATTGCTCCTTGGTTGTCGACTAGCACTTTTTGAGGTGAAGCAGCTAATTCACTACAGATTTCCTTGATCAAATTTTTAATCCATAGGATTAAAAAATATTGTAAATATTGGGACATAAAGTAAATATTGGGACTGGCACATATACACATATTTTTAACAGAAAGTCCAGATCTCTTTTATATCAGAATGAGCTAAGCCATGATCTGCTTATACTAATCTGTTCTCTCGTAAAGGGAACATACATCACCAAAACTGTCTCTGGTAAAAATAGATAGGCCTGATTGAGTAAACGTGATTCCAGTGCTTCTAACAGAAAGCCAATGAAATTATCAAATGCAGCTATTTTATGAAGCAAGATAGGAGAATGTAATCAAGTACAGGATTGTATAGCAGAATCTAACTGCTATAAATCTAATCTGAACATGCTCTTTTGTCTAATAATAACCAATTTTATGACATCAAATACAAACTGACTACAGAATACATTACTTTAATACAAATTATAGACTAATTCCTCTAATATATTATATTTCACTCATGCAGTGATGGTTAAGAATTTGCCACTTGTGTCACAGCATTTTATAATAAAAATATCTAAATGACATCTTTGCTGCCAAGGAAAAGACCACGGACCTGTTTCTTCATCCGAATTATAAACACTGTCTCTTGTGTAACACTCATAATGAAATTTCCCTCTCCCCACCAGAGGGAGTAAAAGGAGTTCTGCCTGCAGCTGCCACAAGTTTGTCAGGGATACCCAATTTATGATGCTGAATTGTTGAAAACATGATATTTTGCAGTAGCCCAGCATTGGAATATCAAAAACATTTTTAAGAAAAATGTTGTTACACCTCCCAAGCTACAAGAATAACACAGACATCTTGGCTTACTATAATGAGAGCAAGCTGTGCTTTTTGCCTATTTCAGGTGATGCACTGGCCTAAAAATAATTTTATCTCTTAAGGAATAGTTGGAAAACAATGAGATATTGCCTTAAAAGCACATCAAACATGATTGTATTCAGCATAAAGAATTATCATGTAATAACATTGGTTAGACGAACATCACACCACCAAAAATTTGTATACTGTGCACTGCACATGATGTACTTTATCGTACATATGGCTAATATTATATTCACACAGGCAGGGCTGGACATTTTGATATTCGAATGACTCAGGAGGTTTGCGGGAATCCTCACTTTTATCTATTAACTAAGTGTTGAGAAATCTAGTGAACTACTGAGTGAATAAGTCCAAAAATAGAAACATAAACTCAAGAAGGGTTAATTGCCCTTAATTGCTCAAAATAAAGTTGACAGACGGTGCCTTTCTCAGGATGTACAACAAAGCTTCCATTTGGGCTTAAAATGTGAAAAGCAAGAACTTAACTAATCTCTAACTAAAGAGATTTAGCTGAAGCTAACACAGTGTCTAAATTAGTTGGCCCCAAATATTAAATTAGCTAGCGAGGTTATCAAGGCCTTGTAATACGGCCGAACATGTAAAGCGGTAGTAACAGCTTAGATAGACGTAGCCAAAACGCAAACGCCCACTATTCAGGAAATCTAATTCTCTCTTTCGAAGTCAGTGAACTTTGACTTAAATACTCTCTGCTTCTCATTTGCATTTAACGTGATTCTAAAAACTCATTCTGGTAAGGGATTGTTAGAAGAGACAGGAAAGGAGCTTTAGCTTAAAAATAACTGTTATAAAATTAGAATGTACCTTACAGGTTTTATCATGAGATGTATCTTTATTTATTGCAAGCCCGAACATTGCATCTAAACGCATGTGAGAAACTGTGAGTAAATATGGTATTAATTTCTTATGCCAAATATATTGTCAGGTCTGTCATAAATTTGTTTGTAATCCTGTTTACTAAATTTTATTATCGATGTATATAGTGAAGTATAATTAGTAATTATTGTGTATGTGAACATGTTTTGATGTTGATTCATAATAATTAGATGAAACCATACAGCTTTGTAGCTGTCTGTTTTATTCTGTTTTGTTAGAGTTAGATATGATAAATCTTCCATAATTTTCTTCTAGTTGGTATAATCATTTGTATTTACTTATATATTCCTATTTTATTTACTACTTAGTCTATTACTGTAGACTTGAAGCCACTTTTGTACCTAAACCATAACTTGTAACCATAAGAATGACTGCTGTGGAAAAAAAGTAAAATCCATTAATTCTATCCTTCTGTTCGTTGATGACGATACACGTTGTGATCGTAAATAAGAGCAGGGTTGTATGAGCTTTAACAGGCTATCTTTTCATTTCAAAATGAATTGAATGCTTAGTTTCTCTGCATCTGTATATTCTTCTCTCATTACATTTTGTTGTATTGTAATGTGTATGTATTGTGTGAAAATGTTTATGAATTAGTGATGTTTAACTGTTGTATTTATTTGAATGATTTGTATAGCCTGCCCACCTAGGCCGCTTACACCTCCACCTTTGCCCCCCATTTTAGCACCTGTGATAAAACCTCAAGTTTCATTGCGAGAGGAAATTGAAGAATTATATGAAGATACTCTACTAGGAGAAAATGGCAGAAGGCCTGTGTCTCTCATGTAAGTGTGCTTTTAGTTTTTTAAACTTAAATAATCTTAACTGAAAATTTTGTAGTTTTTTAAATGGCATTTACATATTATGCCATTAACTATGAAAGTTGGCAGAGATCCCACCAAAGCTGTACCACTCGTTTCTTCTGAATTCCGGAGGAAATGACTCCTGTTTATTTGATAATGGAAAATCAGAATTTGATTTGTTTTGTTTTTGTGCATCGTTAAAAAGTTTTTATGAATTTCTACTGTTTTGTTAGGTCCTCCTATTTTATCAGAAGCACTAGAATGCTATAAGAATAAAATTTCTGTAGGTGATTGTTCCACTCTAGTACTGATTTGTCGGCCATATTCAGCGTACCATATAGTGTCCATTGATAAATATTAACCTTTTTTTAAAAGAATCCCGTAATTTGGAAAATAATCCACTTTTGTAGAATGAGGGTCCCAAATTTTAATATTTTTTTTTTCAAAATGCAGCATTAACAGTTAATTTATATCCTTGTACATAAAAACAAAAGATGTTTTATCGAGAAACGATTAGAGTTAAATCAAATGAAAGTGCAGATGTTATCAGTGGCGGCTCATAGCTAAATTTAGTGTGGGGGGTGTTCCAGAAAATTAACCTTTGGGTTTTTTTTTTTAATTGTGTAAAAAGAAACAAACATGCATAAAAAAGAACATTTTTTATTTAGAAACTTGACAAAATCTAAACAAAATCATACATTTCTTAATTACTTTAGCCTAAAATTGTTACAGTTCAATTGATTGATCTGTTCATTAAAAAATGAAACCCATTCCTCTTGTTTTTATTTGTGCGAAAAGATCAATAATTTTCTCCTTGATCTCTGGATGACAACTGAGGAAATTTTTCTCCATTGCAAGCACATTTAGTCTTTCCAAATTCATAGTGCTTCTTAGAAAAGTTTTCATTCTTCTCAGTGTTGAAAAGCAGCATTCTGCCTCTGATATAGTCATGGAAGAACATCATCTAGATTATCCAAGATAAATTTCAGTAGCTCACTTTAATTTGAAGTATTCATGAATATCAGACTTACAATAGAATATTTTTAGTTACAATTTTGAGCTTTTTTTTATCATTCATTGGGTATCCTTCAATGTTCAGTACTATTTCTTCTGTAGGTTGTTCAATCTTAAAAGTACTGGGTGGTTATAATTAAACTTTCCCTATAAACGGTCCTGCAGCGCAAACGAGTGAACGGAATGCAACGAAATTTTCTATATGGGCTATACACAAGATGCGCTCATGGAATTTCGAAAAACAAATTTTAGTTAAAAAATGTCTACCAGAGGGCACCTTTTGGGGAAAAACATGAAATTTAACACAATAAATGACCAAAATGGAATACAGAAACAATATTAACAGTCCAGAACAAGAATCCTGAGTAATAAAATGCAAAACCGAGAAAAGCTATCAGTTTTAGGAGACAAATGTTGAGATTTGCATGCTTGGGAAGAAAAGGAAGCTTTATGCAAAACAGGTTAAGGTATAAAACATTTGCAGACATTGTCACATTTAAGTCGATGCTTCCGGCTGTACTAATGACGGTCTGTTTAACTGAACGAGCATTATTGGTGAAGCTTTTTTTACGAAAACAAGGGGAATGCGTCTGCTGCAGTTTGTGAATTTCATTGTAGAAAGAACCTACGGTGTGGACCAATGTCTACTAAAGGTATCTGGGACATTATTAAGAGATTTGAAGAGATGGGGGAATTAGGAACTCAACTTGGAAGAGGCCGTAAACGTGTCTCACCAGTACTTGTTGATGCCGTCAAGGCAGCTGTTGACACACAGTCACAGACATCAGAGTTTGGGGCCGTGCAGTTTCTCGACAGATAGGCTATTCTTACAACTTCATCCAAAAAGTACTCAGAAACATAATGCATTACCTCCCATACCAGATCTACCAAACTCAGGAGTTGCTTGATTGGGACAAGCTATTAGAAACTCAATATAGCAGAGAGTGGTTACTTGCATGCATGAGAATAAATAATACACAACATACCTGTTGGGAGTTTGGAACACAAGTGAAGTTTTATTGGAGTGCACAGTTATAGAAGAATATAAAAACAGTGGCGCCATCTATGGGCCAAGAACATATTTAAAGCTAACCTTTTTTACACTCCCACTTTAGGTTTAAATATCATCCTAATTAAATACAATGAGAAATTACATCAGCACACATACATATAATAAAACATTAAATTACATTGGTCTTCATTTTAAACCCATTATTTTTGCAGACATTTCATGTTTTGCACTGTTTACAATTTTTGTCAAAATGTCTGCAATCATATCATTAGTAGTCTTATATTGTATGTCAATGTGCTGAAGTTTCACAGCTTCTCGCATGAAATGATGTTGTATATCAATATGCTTTGATCTACCATGATACACACTATTTTTGCTGAGATAAATAGCACTGTTGTTATCGCAGTATAATAATACTGGCTTTGCAGTAATAATCCCAAGTTCTTTAACAATTTTGTTGAGCCATATGGCTTCTTTAGTAGCTGCAGAAAGAGCCATATATTCGGCTTCTGTTGTACTAGTTGCAATGGTTTGTTGACGCTTACTACACCATGACACTGCACCACCTCCGATGAGGAAAACATATCCAGTGGTTGATCGTCGATCCCCAGCATCACCTCCATAGTTTGAGTCGCTGTAACCAAGGACATCAGCACTATGGTCCTTTGAAAAAGACAATGTAGCATCTGTAGTGGCTCGAAGATACCGCATGATGCGCTTGACAGCATTCCAGTGAACCCTTGCCGGATTATTGGAGAACTGGCTAAGGAAATTCACAGCATAAGTTATATCTGTCCGTGTTGCTTGAGCTGCATAAAGAAGACTCCCAATGGCAGCCTGATAAGGAACAGGTAGCTTTTGTTCCTTACTAGTTGGTATCTGCAGTTTAGATAACACTTGATTTTGGTCTAATGGTGTTTTTACACCATGAGATTCATGCATATTATATTTGCAAAGCATACTCTCTACATACTGAGTTTGACTAAGGCTAATGGACCCTTTAGTTCTATCTCGTTCAATTTAATTCCTAAGCAATAATTTGCTGGTCCCAAGTCTTTCATTTCAAATTTTTCTTTAAGTTGTTGTTTTACCCTAATTTTTAAGTTCTATGTTATTACTAAAAATGAGTAAGTCATCAACATAAATAGTGATAATAACAAGATCTTTATTTTTCATTTATTTTAATATAGACACAACTATCAAAAGTACTTTGCCTCAGTCCCATTTCTATTAATCCCTTTTCTAACAGTTGGTACCATAGTCTACCACTCTGCTTTAAACCATCTATTAATGCTTTGTTTAATTTCAGAACCTTTCCCTTTAAGTTTTGCTTGTAAAATTAACTGAAACCGTCTGGAATTTTCATATAAATGTCTTCATTTAGAGTTCCCAGTACAAAAGCCATTACAGCATCCATTTGGTCAATTTCCCAATCATATATAGCTGCATAAGCTAATAAAACTCTTAATGTTACGTATAGGACAACTGGTGCAAATGTTTCAGTATAATCTATTCCCTCAATCTGAGAATAGCCCTTAGCAACTAAACGTGTTTTATATCTTTCAATCTTGCCTACTGAATTACATTTAATTTTGAAAACCCATTTACAATCTACAATGTTCTTATCATAAGGTTTATCTGTTATTTCCCATGTTTTGTTTTTAATATGGCCTAATATAGTCTCCCATATAGAATCCTTCCAATGGTTTGCATCATTGCCCCTTAATGCTTCATCAATGGTTTTCGGTTCAGAATACACATCATTTGTTGCTGCTGCCATAGCTTTAACAAAGCACATTCGATCTAAATTTGGCATTAGCATTTCTGGCATCCCGTGTGTGTCATAGTCCGTATAACTATTTGGGAATCTAAGTTTTCTGTTTCTAGTCAATGTAGGTAGCTCATCAACTACACTACTGTTATCATGGCTATCATTTTGAGCAGTATTATGTTCATCTTGATTAGATTTAACATTAGCATTAACTAATTCATGATCAGACTGAGTATTGTCATTAACCATCTCTTCCAATTCACCGTTCTGATCATCAGCTATTGCATTCTCAGTATCTGAAAATGTCATAATCACGCTCCCACTGAATGAGGATTCATCATAGAATTTTGGCATATTACTTGCCTTTTTGTAGTACATTTCATTTTCCAAAAATTTTACATCTCGTGCATTTATTATTTCATAAGTTTTGGGATCTATTAATCGATAGCCTTTTCTATCCTGACAGTACCCAACAAGCATTAATTCCTTTACTTTTATATCCCACTTTTTACGTTTTTGCTTTGGAATGTGAGCAAATGCACGACATCCAAATACTCTCAAGTATTCTAAATTTGGCTTATCCCCATACCATTTTTCATAAGGGGTCATACCTGCAACTGCAATAGTTGGAGATATATTTTTACAGTGATTTGCAGTTTGCACTGCTTCAGCCCAATAATTTTGATCAAGGTGAGCATCCACCAACATTGATCGTGCTCGCTCTACAAGAGTTCTGTTACTACGTTCAGCTACACCCATTTGCTCTGGTGTAAATGGAATAGATTTTTGATGCTGAATTCCATTTGATGCTAAATAGTTATCCATCTCATTGTTTACATACTCAGTACCATTATCTGAGTGTAAGATTTTGATTGATTTGCCAGTTTGCCTTTCCACAAATGCTTGAAATATTTTGAATTTTTCAAAAACTTCAGATTTATTTTTCAAAAAAAAATAAACAAAAGTCATTCGCGACAAATCATCAATAAAACTAATAAAGTAGCGAGAACCACCAATTGATGTAACATTCATAGGCCCACACAGGTCACTATGTACTATGCCTAATAACTCTTTTGCACGCTTAGCTTTTCCCTTGGGAAATGGTTGTCTATGCATTTTTGCCTTTAATGCATGACACACAATTTAACAATTTTCCGTTAAATGTAAAAACCTTCGACCATATCT